TCGAGACGCGCGACGATCGTCGATCGCGACCGTTGACGAGGAGCTGCGCGCGGACGGATCGGAGCGCGCCCTTGACGGGCGTGGTGCTGTGCACGATGCGCTGCTTCGGCCACAGATCGGTGGCGTCCATCCCCGCGGCGTACGGCTTGGGGACGGAGTCGAAGCTCGCGGACCACTCCGACGTGTGCGTGAGGCGAGGCACCTTTTCCTGTTGCTGTTGAACGCGACGGCTTCCTCCTCCTCCTCGCGACGATCCTCCTCCTCCTCGCGACGATCCTCCTCCTCTCTCGCCGTCCCTCGATTGGCGCTGCTTGCCGCCGCCGCGCACGCCGCCGCCGCCGCCGCGGCCGCCGCCCCCGGGCGTCGCCGCGTCCGCGTCGCGCGACGCGCGACGCGCGTCGATCTTCGCTTGGAGGCTGGAGGGCTGCTGCCGTTGGGACTTATCGCCGCCGCCTCCTCCCCCTCCTCCCCATCGCGGACCGCTTCCGCCGCCCTCGCCGCCGCCGCCCGCGCCGCCGCCGCCGCCGCCCGCCGCGCCGTCCGCGCCCGCGGCGAATCCGCGCGACGACGCGAACGCCGACGCGCGCCGGCGCGACGACGACGACGACGACGACGACGATATCTGATGCGGCGACGCGGAGGAGAGATCGCCCCGCGTCGTCGCGGTCGCGAACGCGCGCCTCGCGGCGTCGCGCGCGACGAGCGCGCGCGCCTCCGCGACGTCCCCGCGAACGTATCGAAGCGCCGCGATCGTCGAAGAAGACAACGCGTCCGCCGCGCGTCGACGCATGATCCTCGCTCGCCGCCGCCCCGCGCGCGCCCGGACGAATGACGATCAATCCGTGCCCTAACGCGCGCTTCAAAGCAACCGACCGCGGAAGGGACGACAACAACTCGCGTTTTCTTTTCGGCGCGACGCTGAAGCCGCGCGGGCGTCGGACGCGCGCGGTCTACGCACGTGTCTACTACCGTACAGTACGAATACACCGCGTCTCCGCTACTAAGACATCATAAACCTACTAAGGCCATCGTCCCCCCCCGCGACGCCCCACTCCCCCCCGACGCCGCCGCCGTCCGTCGTCGACGCCGTCGTCGACGCCTCCACGTCCAGCCGCAGCCCGCACCGCGCCCTCAGCGCGACGCGCTTCCCCTCGCTCAGCGCTTTATTCTCGCGCAGCACCACCGTCGTCAGCGTGGCGTTCACGTCGAGCATCTCCGCGATCGCGTCGCCGCCGTCGTCGCCGACGCCGCACCGCCGCGCGTCCAGTCGAAGCAAACACGCGTTCGTCTTGAGGTCGTTCAATACGAGCGAACGTCGGGGTGGAGTTGAAAGGCGTCAGATGGAGTTGAAAGGCGTCGAGGGCGGGGATTGAAAGCGAGGTATGGGCGGAGAGAGACGACGGGAAAAGTCCTTAAGGATCGGCGTTCACCACGCCAACGCGGCCGTATGGGGACCAGTGTGAGATAGAACGCGCCTTGAGCTCCTCCGCGACGTCGCGCGCGCCGCCGTCGCCCACGCGCGGGTTCGAGCTCACGTCCAGCTCTCGCAGGTCGTCGTTCGCGCCGAGCGCGTCCGCGATCCACCACGCGCCCTCGGGCCCGACGTCGTTCGCGGCGAGCCGCAGCGACCGAAGCGGAGGATCGCGTTTCAGCGCCCTCGAGAGAGCCTTGGCGCCAGCGTCGCCGCCGTCGTTGTTGGAGACGTCGAGCTCGTCGGAGACGGCGTCGAGGCAGTTCGCGATGGCGACGACGCCTTCGGGGCCGAGCGCGTTGCACTTGAGGTCGAGCGAGCGGACGACCGCGCGGCGCGACGAGCGGCTTATCGTCCCGCGTGCGCGGGGAAGATGAGGAGGAGGAGGCGACGGCGCGCTTCCGGGACCGGGACTTGGACCGGGCTGACCGCGGACCTCGACGCGCGCGTCGAGGTTCGAGACGTCCTGCGCGCGCCTCAGCGCGCCGGACAGCGCGGTCGCGCCGACGCCGGTGATCCCGTTGAACCCGAGCTTCAGCGCGCCGAACCCGCACCCGCGAAGCCCCCTCGACGGCCCCGCGGCTTCCTCTCCGAGCCGGCGTCCGAATCCGAGTCCGAATCCGAATCCGTCGTCGTCCGCCGCCGCCGCCGCCGTCATCCCGTCGATGAAATCGCTCCCGGACGACCACGCGTTCGCGCCGTGCACGACGCGCTCGACCGCCTCCGCGCGCGCGTCGTCGATCGCGCTCGCGAGCGCCGACGCACCGACGTCGCCGATGCCGCACTGCGACGCGTCCACGTCCGTCAACGCGAAGCTCCCGTCGCCGCCGCGTCGAGACTGTCGGGATGGAGTTGAAAGGCGTCAGTTGAAGTTGAAAGGCGCCGAGGGCGGGTATTGAAAGCGAGGGACCCTGGGCGGAGAGAGACGACGGGAAAAGTCCTTAAGGATCGGCGTTCGCCACGCCGACGCGGTCGTATGGGGACCAGCGTATAGAACGCGCCTGCCCGCGGATGATCTCCGCGATCGCCACCGCGCCGCGCGCGCCGATCGCGCACCTCGCGAGGTTCAGCGCGCGGAGCTTCGCGCAGCCCGTCGTGTTGAGCGCGTCCGCGAGCGCGCACGTGCCCTCGCCGCCGATCGAGTTGCCGCTCAGGTCGAGCTCTTCGAGCGCGACGCCGCCGACGGCGACGCCGCCGACGACGTCCTCGCTCGCGTCCGCTCGCGTCCTCCCCGCGAGCGCCTCGCTCAGCGCCTTCGCGCCGTCGACGCCCACGTCGTTCCCGGCGAGGCACAGCGACTTGAGGCGCGGCACGGCGTCGCGCAGCGCGCGCGCGAGGTGCGAGACGCCGTCGTCGCCGAGCCCTTTGCCGCCGTTTCGCAGCGACAGCGAGACTAAGCACCGCAGGTCGCGTCCGCCGAGCCGCGCGAGCCCGCGCTCTAACCCGAGCACGGAGTCGCGCGTCGCGCGTCGCAGCTCGAGCGACCACGCGCCGGATGTACCGCAGGGGCCGCCGCCGCACATCACCCCGCGCGGCGGGCCGCTTCCCATCGGCCACCCGCCGCCGGTCGCGTGGCGTCGGACGGCGGGATCGACCGCCGACGACGCCGCCGGAAACGCCGCCGCGCCGAGGTCGAGCTTCACGCGCGCGCTGAACTCGTCGGCCCCCGCGGACCGCCGCCGCGACGACGACGACGACGACGACGCGCGCGACGCGCGACGTCCTCCGACGCCGACGCCGGCGCCGCGTCCTCCGCCTCCCCCTCCCGCGTCGTTGCTGATGTCCAGCTCGAGCGTCAGACCTTTCATCTTGAGCAGGCACTGGTCCTCGAGACGACCGCGCTTGCTCGCGGCGCCGCCCACGACGCAGCTCAGCCCGAGCGCGTCGGACAGCTCGAGCGCGTCCCTGAGGGAGGAGGACGAGGACGAGGACGAGGAGGAAGGGAGGACGGGGTGGCGAGAGGTGAGGACGCGAGCGCGGGCAGATCGACCGACGGACGTTGACGTTGACTCCGGCGGGCGACCGCTGCCGCTGCCGAGGGTGGGCGGAGAGATGCGCCGGGAAAAGTCCTTAAGGATCGGCGTTCACCACGCGAACGCGGTCGTATGGGGACCAGTGTGAGATAGAGCGACCGCGAGAGATGGACGGCGACGTCGCCGTTCGAGCGCGACGCGAGGAGCGAGCGCGCACATGAGGACGTCGTCGTCCGCGTCGCGCTTGATCCCCGCCGTCGCCGCCGCGACGCCCGGCGGCGGCATGTCTCTCGCGCTCCCGGCCCGCGCCGCTGGGCCCGCGCCTGGTGATCTGACTTGACATGCAGTGTTCAGCCCGTTCGAACTGAAGCGGAACTCGCGTCGCGTCGACCCCTCCGAGAAGTGGTCGTTACCGAGTCCCGGTCGCGTCACTGCCGGCGGCACGGCGCGTCGCATCGCGTGACGCGACCCGCCTCGACCGCGTCGTCGTCGTCGTCGTCGTCGTCGTCGCGCGAGACGCCATGGAGCTCCGCCGGCGCGCGTCCACTCGGAGCGCGAACGCGTCGCCGTCGGATTCCCCGCGGCACCATCACCAGAGGGATTACTTCCGAGATGGGCTGGAACACGACACCCCGACGCCCCGAGCGCACAAGCGCGGCGGGCGCTCGAAGCTGAAGGACCTCCTCGCCGGCTCGGTGCGTCCCCGCTCGCGCGACGGCGCGCTCGCGCGTCCTCGCCCGCGCGCGGAACCCGCCTCGACCGCGAGTCCGTCGTCGCGACGTCGCGGACAGCATCCCTAAATAATTAATTCTAACGACCCGCTCTCACATCGCAGCCCTCGAAATGGCGGTCGCTCCGCACGCGCCTCGGCCCCACGGTCGCGATGCTCGGCAGCTTCTTCCTCGTCCTGCGCCTCGGCCACGTCCCGGTCATCGCGCTCATCTTCCTCGTGCAGATGTCGATGGTGAAGGAGCTCTTCGCGCTGGCGGTGGAGACGAGGAAAGAGAAAGGTGCGTTCTATACACAAGTTTTTCACCCACCGCTCGGTTTCAACATTTGATCGCGTCCCCTTTCAACTGACCGGTGAACTTTTTTTGTATGGAATGGCCCAAAGATCTGCCGTGGTTCCGGCTCCAACAGTGGTACTTCTACGGCGTCGCGACGTTCTTCTCGTACGGGCGGTTTCTGAAGGCGAAGCTCGCGCGGTCGGTGGCGTCGCACGCGACCGCGGGCTCCGGGGTGGCGTCGTTAGGGCTGGGGAACGTCGGGATGTTTCTCCTCGCGCACCACTCGATGATGTCGTACCTGGGGTGGATGTGCGGGTTCGTGTTGTTCGTGTTGTCGCTCAGGAAACGGCGTTACGTGTACCAGTTCGGGCAGTTCGCGTGGACGCACATGATCGTGGCCACCGTGCTGATGCAGTCGTCGTGTTTCGTCGCGAACGTTCTGGAAGGGTTGATATGGTTCGTATTTCCCGTCGTCATCGTCGTCTTCAACGACATCGCGGCGTACCTGTGCGGTTTTTTCATCGGCCGCACGCCGCTCATTAAAATCTCGCCGAAGAAAACCTGGGAGGGTTTCATCGGCGCGTTCGTGCTCACGATCCTCGCCGCGCCGTTCATCGCGCGCGCGATGCAGACGCAGACGTGGCTGACGTGCCCGGCGCCGGACCACCTGAGGATGTGGGGGCAAAACGTCGAGTGCGACGCGGATCCGCTGTTCCGGATGACGACGGTGAGCGTCGGCGACCTCGCGCAGGCGCGTTCTACCATCTCACACCGGTTCCCATACGACCGCGTTCGCGCGGTGAACGCCGTTCCTTGAGGACGGACTTCCTCTCCCGGCGTTCGTTTCTCTCCGCCCACTACGCCTCGTTTTTTTCAATCTCGACACACCTCGGGCGACGCCTTTCGACTCAACTTCTGACGCCTATCGACTCCGCCCCGACGTACTACGTCGCTTCGCGCGGAACGGCTCTCAGAACCTCGAGAGCGCGTTGGGGTCGCTGATCCCGCACGGGTGGATCGGGACGTTTCTGACGCGTTGGTTGGGGTTGAGGACCGTGCGAGCGTCGTGGTTTCAAGTCCACGCCGTGGTGTTCGCGTGGCTCGCGTCAATCATCGCGCCGTTCGGCGGGCTGTTCGCGTCTGGGTTTAAGCGCGCGTTTAAGATCAAGGACTTCAGCGATTTCATCCCCGGGCACGGCGGGATCACCGACCGGATGGACTGCCAGATGGTCATGGCGGTGTTATCGCACTTGTACGTCGCGAATTTCGTTCGAATGCCCGGGATGATGACCGTCGGCGAGGTGCTTCTGAAGGTGGAGCTCGTCTCCAACGAAGATCTGCTCGAGCTCTACGTCGCCATCGGGAACATGTGCGTGTCGCGGGGGATGCGACTGCCGAGCTTGAGCGCGAGCGGAGGGGGATGGAGCGTGGACCCGCCGGACGCCGGGGGCGTAGGGGAGCACTAGAGGGAGGGGGTAAAAGAAGAAGGAGAACGGCGAATGAGGCGTCGAGAAGAGACGGACGGACGCGCGACGCGCGTCGATCGATCGTCGGACGTTGTCGTACACTACGAGCGAACGAATAATGAAAACGAACGCGTCGAAGCCGCGTCTATCTCACAGCTCTTCCCACCCGTTCGCTCTCTTCCCGCCGCCCCCTCCCTCCCGCAGCGCCTTCTCTCGCCTCTCGTTCCTCGCCCTCGCGTGCTGCGCGAGCCCGTCCGTCATGTCCACGCCGTTCACCTGCAGCGAAAACGCGCCGTCCTCCGCGGCTTTGTACGCCCACGGCACGAACGTCTTGATCGCTCGTTTCGCCGTCGCCTTCACCCCCCACTCGATCCAGCCCTGCTTCGCGGGGTCCTTCTCGCCGCCGAACATGTTCACGATCTCGTTCAGCTTCTCCTCGTCGAGGAGCGCGTCGTCGAGGTCGTCCAGGAACGAGTCGAAGACCTTGAACGCGTCCGCGGCGTTGAAGTCGCTCGCGTACGACGCCGCCGACGACGACGACGACGTCGCGCCTCCCCCGCCGCCGCCGTGACCGCCCGCGGCGCCCCACCGGTCGTAGTGCTTCCGCTTCGCGTCGTCGCTCAGCACGGAGTACGCCTCGCTCACCTCGATGAATCGCTCCTGCGCGTCCGGCGCGGGGTTCTTGTCGGGGTGGAATCGCAGCGACAGCGTTCGGTACGCGCGTCTGATCGCCGCGGCGTCCGCGCTCCTCGCGACGCCGAGGACGCCGTAGTAGTCGCCCTTCCTCGCGCGCGGCGGGTCCGGCGCCGCGGACACCATGCCGGCGAGGAGGAGAAGGACGAGGACGACGAAGGTCGGGGCGCGCGTCGTCGCGGCGGCGCGACGCATCAGTAGTGCGAGAAGGCGCGCCGCGCGTCGAACTCTCTTCCTTCCTTCCCGTCCCTCGCGCCTCAGCAGCCTCGCCTCGTGCCAAGTGTCCGATTTCGTCTGCGCGGCCGTCCAGTCCCGTGGGCCGTTTCAAAGGCGTTCACGAAATACGTTCATCGGTCGGTTGAAAGTGGACGCGATCAAACGTTGAAACCGAGGGTGGGTGAAAAACGTTCGACGATAGACGAATAACGCCCCGCACTTTCTTTCCGTTCGTTTCTCGTTGACTGCGAGGCGTCGTCCGCATTGACCGAGGCGCGGGGCCGGGGCCACGCACCGCGCGTCAAAAGACCGCCAACAGCGCGATGCCGACGGTCGTGGGCCCGTACGAGGTCACGAGGAAGATCGGCGAGGGCGGATACGGCAAGATATTCCTCGCGCGGCGCCTCGCGCGGCGCGTCGGCCGCGCCATCGACGACGACGAGGTCGTCCTCAAGCAAGTGAAGCTGCCGACGAAGAAGCTCGAGCGCGAGATGTGCCTCCGCGAGGTGTCCATCATGAAGGGCGCGCACCACCCGTGCGTGCTCGAGTGCACGGAGTCCTTCGTCGACGGCGGGAGCGTGTACATCGCGATGCCGCACTGCACCGGCGGCGACCTCGCGAGCTTGCTGCGACGGCACAAGAAGCGAGGAAGGCGCGTCCCCGAGCGCGTCGTGCTGGACTGGTTCGCGCAGATCATCCTGGGCGTGGAGCACCTGCACTCGCACGACACGCTGCACCGGGACTTGAAGTCGCAGAACGTCTTCCTGCGCCGCGATCATCTTCCCGTCGCGGGGGGCGCGCACCGCGACGAGGGCGCACACGCGTCGCATCATCGCGGGCGGAGTCGCGTCGCGCTCGGGGATTTCGGCATCGCGAGAGAGCTCCGATTCGACGACGGCGGCGGCGGCGCCGACGCCATGGCGCGGACGTTCGTCGGCACCCCCGTGTTCATGGCCCCCGAGATGTTCAAGAGAAAGCCGTACGACCACAAGGCGGACGTGTGGGCGGCGGGGTGCGTGTTGTACGAGATGATGCAGCTCTCGGAGCCGTTCCGAGCGAGGACGATGGGCGAGCTCACGCGACTGGTGCAGCATCAGGCGCGTTCTATACACTGGTCCCCATACGACCGCGTCGGCGTGGTGAACGCCGATCCTTAAGGACTTTACTTCCCGGCGCATCTCTCCACCCAGGGTCCCTCGCTTTCAATCCCCGCCATCGGCGCCTTTCAACTCCACCTGACGCCTTTCAACTCCACCCCGACGTTCGCTCGTATGGAACGACCCTCAGAAACCCAAGCCGCTTCCGTCGGAGTACGGCGCGGACCTGCGCGATCTCTGCGCGCGCATGCTCGCGAAGAACCCGGACGACCGGCCGACGGCGAGGGAGGTGATACGCGACTTCGCGCGGCTGCGCGAAGCGTGCGGGCTCGCGCTGCGCGACGCGGGGGTGACGCGCGAGGCGCTCGCCGCAGTGGGAGACGATCAACGCGCGATGGCGTCGACGGTTGTGCCCGCGTTCGACGCCGTCGCGATGGCGCGACGAGGCGGGGACGAGATGCGGCTGCCGCAGGCGGCGAGCACCGCGGAGCACGAGGCGAGGGCGCTGAAGACCGCGGCGAAGCAGGCGAGGCGGTGCGGGATCGACGTCCCCCCGAGTGCGGACGCCGTCGCGCCGCCCGAGGGTGTCATCGCGAGACGTCGACCTCAGGTGCGTTCTATACACTGGTCCCCATACGACCGCGTTGGCGATGTGGACGCCGATCCTTAAGGACTTTGCCCGGCGCATCTCTGCGCCCACCCCTCGCTTTCAATACCCGCCCTCGCCGTCTTTCAACTCCAACTGACGCCTTTCAACTCCACCCCGACATTCGCTTGTATAGAACGGCCCTCAACCTCCGACATCGGCGGAGGACATCGCGCGCGCGGCGGCTGACGTCCCGGGGGAGAGGGAGACGTCGAGGGAGACGTCGACGTCTCCCCCGCCGCCGCCGCCGCCGCCGCCGCCCGTCGTCGTCCCTCTGGACGTCCGCGCGAGAGCGGTCGTGGAGATCGCGCGCCGAGCCGCCGCGAATCTCCGCGCGGCGAAGGCGAAGGAGGAGGAGCCGCGGGAGAAGCCGAGGGAGAAGCCGTCGTTCGTCGTCCCGCCCGTCGCGCCCGTCGTCGGGCCGGCGGTGAACGGGCTCAGAGCGCGCGCGATGAACCGGGACCGGGGTTTATCCGCGGAGAAGGAGCGCGGCGACGTCGCCGCCGCCGCCGCCGCCGTTGCGAGGAAGAAGAAGCTCGCGGTCGGCGCGCCGTACGCCGCGCCAGTCGCGAGGAAGCCGCGCGACGCGTCGTCGGATAATAATAAGGAGAATGCGAATCGCCGCGCTCCGGCGAACGCGCGGGGGGGCGACGCGAAGAAGAAACTGAGACATCCCCCGGTGTCGAACGCGAACGTGCGACGACCGGCGCGAAATCGCGTTCCCGCGGGAAGGATCGTGCGGTGGGATAAGGACGGGAGGAAGGTGCAGTCGTACGCGCCGATGAGAGTCCCGGGAGGAGGAGGGGGACCCGGCGGCGGATGTGAGGAATCGGAGCGCGGCGGGTGGCGCCCTCTCGACGAGCACTCGGAGCAAGACCGCCTCGCCGCGGAGGTGGCCGCGCTGCCGAGCATGATGTTCCGTATCGACGAAGTAGCGGACGAGGAGGAGGAGAGAGACGCGTCGTGCGATCGCGCGCCGCCGCAGCCGCCGCCGCCGCCGCCGGTGTCGAAGCTCGTCGGCGGCGTCGTCGCGAAAGGCCCGAGCGCGAACCCGCGAAGACGCGCGGACCCGCGCGGGCGGCGCGTGCAATACTAATAGAGAGGTATTACGCCTGTATTAATCCAACGCGCACTACTGATAGAGAAGAAGAGAGCGCTCTCATCGCACACCATCCGCCCCGCCCTAAAACTGTTGCTTGAGCTTTTCCTGTTCGAGCTGCTTGAGCTTCTCCTGTCCCGTCTTCGTCTTCGCGAGCTCGTGCACCGTCTTCTGCTTCGCCGCGCCCTTGACCGCGACGCCCGCGGTCGTCACGCCCCCGTGCTCCGCGTGCGTGTCCGACCAATCCCCCGGCACGAACGGCAGCTTGCTGTGCTTCGAGTCCCAGTGCATCTCGGCTGATTTTATCGACGGCGCCTGCGATTGATTTTTGACGATTTCGAACGCGACGGACGGAGGACGGAGTCGGACGTCGTCAGGATTAACTAACGGGAGCCGCGGAGAGACGACGACGTGACGACGCGCGAGATCCCCGGACGCGACGGACGCGACAACGCTGAGCGGTTCGACGCGACGCGCCGCGGACGGACCTGCTGCCCGCAGCTCGGGCACTTGAACTTCGCGTGGCCCGCGGCGCCGCCCTTGCGATCGGCGAGCCCAGCCTTGCCTCCGCCCTTGTTCGTCGTCGCCGCGGCCACCTTCCCCGCGATCTCCTTCGCGGAGTGCTTCGTCGGCTTCGCTTTGCCTCCCATGATGCGAGCCGGGGCGTCGTGCGTCGGGCCCGAGCGGGAGCGACGCGCGACGCGTGGTGGCGCGAGTTTCGACGCCGCGCTGAGTTTTTACACGACGAATTATTATGCGGTCGGTCGACTTCTCACGCAGGCGCTCTGGAGCCCGGTGCGCGCGCGTTTAGGGCTTTACGCCCCCGGCTTCGTCGCCCTCTTTCGAACGCGCGACGCACGACCCGCCTCGCCGCTCACCATGGCTGAGGTTTCCGAGATTAAGCTCTTCGGCAAGTGGACGTACGACGATGTCGAGGTGCGTCGCGATTCCACGCTCGCGTCCCCCGGCGCGGCGTCTCCCCCGGACGCGCGTCGCGATGTTTTTCTTCGCTCGCCTCGCCTCGACCCCGCGCCGCGCGTCCGCGTCTTCCCCTCCCGCGCGCCGTTCTGACGACCTCCCCCTCCCTCCGCAGATCAACGACATCTCCCTCGAGGTTCGTGTGAACGCAACGCCGTCGCTCACCGCCCGATTCTAGCCCCGGACCGCCTCCGCGACCGCGTCACAAGTCGCCATCATCCCTACCCCGCTCCGGCGAGGGGACGAGGCGAACGATTTCCCGCATCGTCCGCGCTCCCCGTCCCTCCCCGGAACCCGCGCCCCCGCGACGTCGCCTGACCCCAATCCTCCTCCAACTCCGCAGGATTACATCGGCGTGAAGTCCAAGCACGCGGTGTACGTCCCGCACACCGCGGGCCGCTACGCGCAGAAGCGCTTCCGCAAGGCGCAGTGCCCGATCGTGGAGAGGCTCGTGAACGCGCTCATGATGCACGGCCGCAACAACGGCAAGAAGCTCATGGCGGTGAGGATCGTCAAGCACACGATGGACATCATCCACCTTCTGTCGGACCAGAACCCGATTCAGGTCATCGTCGACGCGATCATCAACGCCGGGCCGAGGGAAGACGCGACGCGCGTCGGCAGCGCCGGCGTCATTCGTCGCCAAGCCGTGGACATCTCCCCGCTGCGCCGCGTGAACCAGGCCATCTACCTCATCACGACGGGCGCGCGCGAGGCGGCGTTTAGGAACGTGAAGACGATCGCGGAGTGCCTCGCGGACGAGCTCATCAACGCCGCGAAGGGGTCGTCGAACTCGTACGCGATCAAGAAGAAGGATGAGCTCGAGCGCGTCGCGAAGGCGAACCGTTAATCATCATTGAGAGGAGAGGAGAGGTCTTCTTCGAGAGGAGAAGGACGAACTGATGACTTTCATCGTGGGTGGGTGGCGCGCGCGATTCGGTCGAGTCGCGCGCCGCAGACTGGGAGCGTGAGGCGTTCGCGAGACGGCGAGCGATGACTTAGCCATCGTCGGGGTATTGTAAAACACGAACACGCTCTTTTGCAGACGACACCCTTCGCGCGAGGTTGGCTCGAACTGGACAGCGGTCACCGACGAACTACGAAAAACTTCGTTTCCATCACGCAGCACGCACGCGCAGAAAAACCGTTGGCGTTGACGAAAGCGTTCGCGCGCGCGTCGTCGTCGCATCTCCCGTCGCGCGAGCGACGCGTCGTCGGTCATGAGACCACCTCTCCCCTGACGCCACCTCCGCGATGCCGCTCCCCGAGGTCCGCGTCCTCCCGTACGCGGTCCTGAAGACCGCGTGCGACGGCTTCGCGGAGTCGGCGCTCCTGTCGCGATCCCCCGCGGGCGAATCGTACGCCGGCGCGCTCGGGGCGACGCGCGTCGTCGTCAAGGTCCTCAGCGCGGACGTGACGCGCGCGGACGACGCCAAGACCGCGCGCGCGTTCGTGCGCGACGCCATCCTCCGCGCGCTCACGTCGCATCCGAACGTGAAGCACCGCGTCGGGGTCTCCGTCGACGGTCCGAGAGCGTGCCTCGTCACGCCGCGGTGCGACGGCGGGTGCGTCTCCTCGCGGCTCGAGTCCGGAGATGGACTCTCCTGGCGCCAGAGGCTGGCCGTCGCCGCGGGCGCGGCGTCCGGGCTCGCGCGATTGCACGCCGCGGGCGCGACGCACGGGAGCGTCAAGGCGAGCAACGTCCTGTGCGCGCGCGACGGCCTCGACGGATTCGTGTGCGATCTCGCCCCGAACCTCGCGACGGCGACGGACTACGACGCGCTGCCGCCGGAAGCGAGGAGCTACGTCGACCCGGCGCTGCTCGAGGGCGACGGGATGATTCCCGCGAGTCCCGCCACGGACGTGTACGGCCTCGGGGTCGTGCTCTTGGAGCTCCTCACGAGCGCGCGCGGGGCGATACAGCGCAAGAGCGGCGTCGATCGCGAGCTCCTCGCGCGCGGCGCGCGGTCGAACTCGTCGTCGGACGCGTCGCTGCTCGCGGCGGCGAAGAACGCGGGATGGCCGGACGACGTCGCCGGGGAGGTCGCCGCGCTCGCGTCGTCGTGCGTGCGCCCGAGGGCGGACCGGAGGAAGAGCAGCGCGGAGGTGGCGGAGGGGCTGTGTCTCCTCGCCGCGCGCGCGGAGGAAGCGGCGCCGGCGACGGGATTTAGCGGGAAAGAATCCAAATCCAACGACTCAGCGGTCGGCGACGACGGCGCTTTTATGCAGACCGCGGACGTGTTCGTCGGGCTCGTGTCGTGCATGGCGTCCGAGTCTATCCGGCTCAAGCGCGCCGCCGCGTGCGCGCTCGCGACGTACGTCGACGAGGAGCTGATGGGGGGCGACGTCGCCGCCGCCGCCGACGCCGTCGCCGCGGGCGTCGCCGCCGGGTGCCTCAACCCGCTCGTCACCTTGCTCGGCGGGAGCGACGCGGTGGCCGCGATCGACGCCGCGGACGCGCTATCGCACGTCACGCTCGCTTCGGAGAACGCGAGGGACACCGCGTGCGCGGCGGGGGCGTTGACGTCGTGCGTCAAGATGCTCGCGTCCACGTGCGAGCCGCGCCTCAGGTGCGCGCGGTAAAATCGTTTGGTTTCGCGTCGTGTCGTTCGGTTCGGTCGCGTTCGGTTCGTTTCGTTTCGTTTTCACCCGTTACCCGTTCGACGCCCACCCGCGTCTCCTTTCTCTCCTTTCGACCCACCGATGAACGTCGTTTTCGCGCTTTGAAACGAACGGCATCCATCGCCCGCTTCTTCTCAGAGCCGCGGGCGCGAAGGCGCTGCACGGGTTACTGCTCGGGAACCCCTCCGGGTGCCGCAAAGGCGCGTTCTATCTCACACTGGTCCCCATACGACCGCGTCGGCGTGGTGAACGCCGATCCTTAAGGACTTTGTCTCCCGGCGCATCTCTCCGCTCATCACCCCTCGCTTTCGATCCCGACACTCCGCGTTGCCTTTCAACTCCGCTTCTGACGCCTTTCAAGTCCACCCCGACATCATCGCTCGTACGGACCCTGACCCTCATCAGCGCTCGAGCTCGGCGCGTTGGCGTCCCTGCGCGCGATGATCGACATGAGCGACGAGCGGTGCCGCGTCACCGCGTCCGCCGCGCTGTCGTCGCTCGCGGACGCGGACGTGGAGGTGTTGCAGGCGCTCGGCGCGGCGTCGTTCGTCGCGATGGCGCGCGAGGCGACGAAACCGCTCGCGCGCGCCTCCGCGTGCGCGTTTATCAGGCGCGTTCTATACACTGGTCCCCATACGACCCCGTTCGCGTGGTGAACGCCGATCCTTAAGGACTTTTTCCGTCGTGTCTCTCCGCTCACCCCTCGCTTTCAATCCCCGACCTCGACGCCTTTCAACTCCAACTGACGCCTTTGAACTCCACCCCGATATCATCGCTCGTATGGAACGGCCCTCAGCAAACTCGCGCGCAACTCGGACACGCACGAGACGATACGCGAGGGCGGGGGCGTAGAAACGCTCGCGTCGATGACGTTACGAGGGCACGCGGAAGCGACGTGGGGGCTCGCGTCGATGGCGTCGTGCGAAGAAAACTGGGACGTCGTCCACGAGGCGATGACGCCGGAGACGTTGGACGCGTTGAAGCGGCTCATCACGAGGTGAGACTGCCTCCCATACGACCGCGTTCGCGTGGTGAACGCCGATCCTTAAGGACTTTTCCCGTCGTCACTCTCCACCCGCGCTTCCCTTTCAACGTTCGACCGGTAAGACGTTCGACTGACCGATCGCTTCACCCTTGAAGCGACAACGAATACGCGACGGAGGGCGCGGCGTGGGCGTGCTGTTACATGGCCGCGGACTGGAGGCTTCAGCTCGCGCTGGTGAAGAGCGGCGTGCTGCCGCCGTTGGTCGCGCTCGTGAAGGCGGGCGGGGGCGGGAGTCGCCGCGTGAAGAAAGCCGCGGAGCGCGCGTTGAAGGCGCTGTCGTCCACGCGCTTGGAGTGACTGACGCGTATTAATTAGCCTCCCGCGCGTAGGCGCGCCGCCTTCGCTACTTGTTATGTCTGACTAGGTATCTAGCTAACGTCTCGTACACGAGCTCGTCGTCCTCCGGTTCGGAATCGTCCTCCTCGTCGTCGTCGTCTTCGGGATTTCTCTCGCTCTCGTCGTCGTCGTCGTCGTCGGCGGCGGCGGCTGCCGCCGCGGCTTCCGCCGCCGCCCGCTTCGGCGTCCTGAGGGCGTCCACGTCGAACGGCATCCGCCCCAAGCACGCGTCCGTGTCGCACTTACACTCCGTCCCCCTCTTCGTCTTCCTCGCGAACTTTTTCGGCTCGCCGTACTTCCACCTGAGCTCCTCGCCGCGTTCGATGTCCTCGCTCGCGAAGAACGCGATCCTCGCGGGCGCGGGACCGAGCGTCATCGGCCTCAAGTTCCCGCCGTCGCACGCGTGGTTCAGGAACCGCCCGACGTTCCCTCTGCGTATCGGGTCGATCGCCCACTTCACCTCGTTCGCGGCCTCGTCTCCCTCGTCGTCGTCGTCGCCGCCGCCGCCGTCTCCCCCGCCCGCGGTGCCCATGCGAGAGACGAGCACGTAGTTGCTCGATTTATTTTCGTCGACGATTCTCAGGCGCTTCGCCGCGGCTGCCGCGTCGATGACTTCCCCCGCGTACTCGCACACGAACGTCCCTCGCTCGATCTTCTCGTTCGCGAAAACGCCAAACCCGTAGCCGTTTCTCCGACATTTCTGCACCACGAGCTTCACCCGGACCCCCTTCCGCGTGTGCTTGTTCACGCACTCGGGACCGCACCCGCACGCGGCGCCGCACTCGCGGAAAAACGCAAACTGATGCCTCTCCCGGTCGTCCCACCCGGCGACGCCGACGCGGAGCTTTCCGTCCGCGTCGTACGCGGGGAGCCCGTCCGCGTTGCGGCAGCACGCGCAGATGTTCGGGTCGCACGTGGGCCCCTCGCATCCGCACCCGACCGCGCGCTCGTCGCGCGCGTGTCCGACCGGCCGGGCGCTCGCGAACTCGGCGTCGAACGCGGGAGGGACGACGTGATGCGGCACCGTCCACGGATTCCGCACGTGCGGGAGACTCAGCTTGCCGTCGACGGGGTCCTCGACCGCGTCGCCGTTCGGCCAGACGTTCCGCGTGACGTACTCCACCTGGCCGATCATCGCCATCGTCGCGCACGGCCCCGCGCGGAAGAGAATCGGCGACGGCTCGCACCCCGCGGCGAGGTCGACCATGGGCTGGACGCCCGGGACGTGATCGAGGCTCGCGCCGGTCGCCACGAAGTCCTCGTCCTCGGACTCGTCCACGAACCACGACTCGTCGACGTTCTCCATGCGCTTCCGGGCGTAGTACTCGTCGTCGTCCTCGCCGTTCGCGGGCGCGTCCCCGGGCGCGCGCTCGCGCTTCGGCTTGGACGCGGAGGGATCTCGCGGGGTCTCGCCTCTCTCTCGCGCGCGCTCGGCGACGTGCGCCCGCCGCGCTTCCTTCGCGACCTCCTTCTTCGCGAGCTTCTTCGCCTGGCATTTCGAGAGCGTGATCTCCCCTGCGCGCGCGGCCGCGAGCGTCGCCTCCCAGTCCTCGCGCGAAGCCCGCGGAGTGTCCATGTCCGCCGTCGGGGCGCGGCGGCGCGCGACGACGCACTGGTTGATGATGCGGTGGCGAGAATCGAATCTCATCAGATTTTTTTTGCTACGAATTAAATATGAATTACAACACGACGCGTGTTCGCGTCACCGCGTCGTCGTCGTCGATCAGTCCACGACGCCGAACTGTATCAAGTTGAACAGCGCGTGCACGTTGTTCGCCTTGATCGCCGCCCGGCACGCGCTCACGATCCGCGTCTTCGCGCCGCCGCACCGCAACTTCGCCGCTCTCTGTATCATCTGATTCGTCCGTCGAAGCGCCGCGAGCAGCGCCTGATGATTCTCTGCGCGCTTGTTGTGCTCCGCGATCAACTCCCTGTTCACGTCCATGAGCTCGTTGTACATGCGCATCATCGTGTCCATATCGCGCAATATCCTCGCGTCCTCGGCGCGGATGATGTAGGACTTGACGAGATTCGCGCCGTCGGCCACCTCCGCGGCGAGCCTCGCGCGGTCCGCGTTTCGCTCGTCCACCTCTCGTAGCGTCTCTCGAAACCGCTCCATGTCCTCCGGGAAATCGCACGTGGACTCGAGGTCGGTGACGCCGACGACCGCGCAGAGCTCCTGCACGATGTCCCCCGCGAGATCCATGTCGTCCGTGCGCAGCGTGACCGTGCCCCCCGCGTCCGCGCCGCCTCGCGTCGCGTCGTCGAACGTCGCGTCGATCAGCGTCGGTCGCCCGTCGCGGAGGCTCAGGGTCGTTCCATACGAGCGAACGTCGGGGTGAGATTCAAAGGCGTCAGTTGGAGTTGAAAGGCGCCGAGGTGTGTCGGGATTGAAACCGAGGAGTGGGCGGAGAGACACGCCGGGCAAAGTCCTTAAGGATCGGCGTTGACCGCGCCAACGGGTTCGTATGGGGACCAGTGTATAGAACGCACCTCACGAACCCGCACTCGAAGTCGTCGTCCGGGCCTTGGACGATGTCCGTGACGTTGGTGTTGAACGCGTCGTCGATCCAGGTCGCCATTCGACGCGCGTTCACGCCGGGAAGACGAAACGACACGCTCCCGCTCGGCGTCGCGACCGGCGCGTTGAGCCGCGCGTACATGCAAAATTTGGGAAGCGTAAACTCCAACTCGAAGACGTGATAGACGCTCGACATCCGCGCGGACACCAACACCTTGATCGAGACGTCCGCGCAGATATCCCGCGGCGGGCGAATGAACACCCGCGCGGTCGTCTTCGGGTTCGGAAAGTACACGAACCTGGCTTCCTCTTCGAAGACGCCCTCGCCGTACATGTTCACCGCCTTGATCACCGCGTCGTTGTTCGTCGAGAGCACGAGCTCGCCGCCGCCGAGCTCCTCGTTCATCTCGAGCTCGCTCACGACGTCCGTGTCCCTCGGAATCGCGCCCGCGGCGGCGGACGTCAAACTCGTGGCGCCGCTCTCCGCCGCCGCGGCGTTGCGCTCGTACGAGTTCAGCTCGACGAGGAGGTCTTGTCGCCGCTGAGGGCCGTTCCATACAAAAACAGTTCATCGGTCAGTTGAAAGGGACCCACGCGATCAAATGTTGAAACCGGACAATGGTTGAAACACGTTTGTAAAGCAGAACGCACCTGATTCAACGCCGCCACCGTCTGCTCGTTCGCGTCGCCCGCCATGAGCGACGGCCGCGCGATCGTTATGTTCTCCTCGTCCTTCACCTCCTTCCCTCGGAACTTCTTCCCTATCCTCGTGTCCTTCACCTTGTCCATGAAACTCTTCTTCTTCGGCGGCTCTTCTTCCGCCGCCGCCGTCGCGCCGCCGCCCGCGCCCGCGCCCGCGGCGCGGTCGCCCGTCTCGATCTGCCCCGCTTGACTTCGGTACCCGCGGACTTCGCCGTCCACCGCGCACGCGATCAGATCCGTCGTGCCGTCCATCCGGTAGTCCGCCATCGCGAACGCCGCGATCGACGCGTCGAACGTGTCCTTGTACACCAGCTCGCCGTCGCTCTCGTTCCTCACGGCGACGAGACCGGAGGACCACCCGATGACGAGCTCTCTCTCGCCGTCGCCGTCGAGGTCGTACGCGCACAGCGCGGTGACCTGGTTCTTGCTCTTCACCCTCCACTGCCGCTGCGTGCCGTCGTACACGCCCACGGTGCCGTTCGCGAGCGCGTACCCGAACCGCTCGCCTTTAAGGTGGCACACGTTGATCACGCGTTCGCTCTCCGTGATCTCGCTGACCACTTCCTCGTCTCGAAAGAGTCGAATCGTGAAGTCGTCGCCGCAGACGAAGAGCTCGTTCAGTCCGTCGCCGTCCACGTCCGCGAGCGTCATCGCGTTGACGTTGTCCCCACTCACGGTCCAGTACGCCTCCTCGCCCTCGTGATCGAACCCCAGGATGGAGCAGTTGCCGCCGACGAGCGCGAGCGTCCGCGCTTCGCTTCCGATCTTCCCGCAGACGACGGCGTTGGCGCCGTCGGGCGCTTCCTTGAAGAACGCGTCCTTGTTCTCCTCGACGTCGTACGCGAGGACGTCCGTCGCGCTGCCGACGAGGAGCAGGTCGCGGTTCGGCGACGCCGGGTCGATCGCGCCCGCGGCCAGGGACGTGATCTCCTTGTTGATGTTCAAGTATCGGACGCGCGAGGCGCGCGCGTCGTTCGCGCCGGGGTCCGTCGTGGACGCGAACGGGTCGTGGATGAAAACCTTCCCGCCGCTCGTCGCGGCGGTGAGGCACGGGTGCGTCCCGTCGTACTTCCCCACGACGACGAGACCGGGGAGGATGCCGTCGTCGAGCTTGAGCGTGAACGAGGGCACGAGCGGCATGGCGACTCTGCTCGACTCGATCGATGTCAGCCCTCTCCTCTGCCGCGCGAAGCGTCGCTCGTCCGTCGTCCGTCGTCCGCTCGCGCGCTCTCGGAGGCGGTCGCGCGCTCGCGCCCCGCGGCCGCCGAGGCGTGGCCGGCGTCGATCGCCGCCCGCGCGCGCGCGTCCCGTCGCCGCGTGCGCGTCGCGAGCGCCGCGCCTCGTCGCGTGTTGACGCTCGCGAGAGATGATGCTGATGATGAGAAAGAACGGCAAACAGCAACGACGCGACGCGATGGTCGGTCGGTCAGTCGACCGACCGCGGTCGGCGCCGCGATAGAAACGTCGCGCATCGAACGCGTAAAAGCCCCGCCCCCGGCCGCCGGTCGCCCTCTTTCTCGGTGCGAAGACGGATTTATCCCGAGCAGCGAACACAGGCATCATGCAGATTTTCGTCAAGACCCGTGCGTTCCCGCCCGTCGCGACGATCGCGCGCCTCGCCGCGCGCGATTTCCCGGGGTGCTCCGCCCGCGGACGAAAACCCTGAATCTTTCTTTCCGCTCGATTCCGCTCGCCTCGCGCGCCGCCCCGCGCGCCTCCCCGCGCGATCCGCCGACGCGCGCCTCCTCCCCCCCCCGCGATCACCCCCTCAACAGTCACGGGCAAGACCATCACCCTCGAGGTGGAGTCCTCGGACACGATCGACAACGTCAAGGCGAAGATCCAGGACAAGGAGGGGATCCCCCCCGACCAGCAGCGCCTCATCTTCGCGGGCAAGCAGCTCGAGGACGGCCGCACGCTCGCGGACTACAACATCCAGAAGGAGTCCACGCTCCACCTCGTGCTCCGCCTCCGCGGCGGCGGCAAGAAGCGCAAGAAGAAGAACTACACCAAGCCCAAGAAGATCAAGCACAAGAACAAGAAGGTGAAGCTCGCGTTTCTCAAGCTGTACAAGGTGGACGACGCGGGCAAGGTGACGCGGCTTCGCAAGGAGTGCCCCGCGGCGGAGTGCGGCGCCGGGGTGTTCATGGCGAACCACTTCGACCGTCACTACTGCGGCAAGTGCGGGCTGACGTACGTCCCGGAGGGGGTCAAGAAGTGAGCGGATCGGTCGATCGGTCGATCGATCGATGGTTCGATCGCGCGGTTAGGGCTCTGGCGCGCGCGCTCTGCGACTACGTGTGTACTGTAGCTCGTCGTCGCCGGTTATACTAACCTTACCTATCTTCGCCGCGAGTTTGCTCACTAGCGCCGCTCGCGCGTCGCTATCGCATCGCGCCTCCTATCCTACGCCGCCGCCGGCGGCTTCCTATTCGAGTACCGCCGCACGAGATCGCCGACGCCGAGCGCGCCGGTTGCCCGCTCGAACGCCGCCGCCGCGTCGGCGTCGAAGACGAGTTTTTTTTTTTCGTCCCTCGCGTCTTCCTCCGCGTCGCCCTCGCCATCCACGCGCACGACGCCACCCTCGACGCCGTTCAATAAATCGCACGGCACGAACAACACCCCGGGGGCGTCGCTCAGCGCGTGCGTCTTCACGCGGCAGCACACCGCGCCGCCCGCGGAGCCGTCGCACTTCTTCCCCGCTTCCACCCATCGCTCTTCGTCGACGACGACGCCGCCGCCGTCGTCCGCCGCCGCCATCGCCCCGCGCAGCGCCTTCGCGCCGTTCACCGCCCTCCAGTTGTCGTACGCGCGCCATCCGAACCAGTAGATCGGCAGGTTCGACAGCGGGGTCAGGAACAGCGGGAGCGTGAACGGGCACGCGAATAGGTTCCACCACATCCGCCGTCGGCACGCGCTCGCGCCGCGCGTCGCGAGCGTCTCGAGATGCGCGCGCGTCTCCTCGCGCGACGCGCGCGACGGATACGCCACCTCCGCGCTCGACGCGATCGCGGGCAGCTCCCCTAAGCTGCTCTCCTCCGGATCGATGCTCTCGAGGACGGCGGTCCCGGCGGCGTGCGCGCGCCCGCGCCAGCTCCCGCGCGGGTGCTCGCCCCACGTCGTCCACGTCGTCGTGAGCGTGCGCATCATCGACGCCATCGCGCGCTTGCCGAACGCGGGGACGTAGTCCTCGGGGTTCCGCGCGTTCGCGACCGCGTCCGCGACGGCGGCGTACCGCGACGCGTTCACCTCGTGCACCGCGCGCGCGTGGAACATCCTGCGCGGACGAGGAGAAGACGGGGAGCGTCGATCGATGAGGTGATGGAAGACGACGAGACCGCGGGAGACGAAGGATCGATCTGTCGACGCGAAACGACGCGACCGACGCGAGCGGCGGGGGGGGCGACGCGATCGACGCGGGAGGGGCACGGCGCGGGCGACGCGCCATCGCTCGTTCGCGAGCCTGATCGCGAGGATCCTCGCCCTCGTCGCGACCATCGCGCGTCGATCGAGGGGCGGAAGCTCCGCGCGTCGGATACTGATGACGCGGCGGACGCGCAGGAGCGAGCGAGCGAGCAGCTCGAAACTGAAGTTTGTTTCGTTCGATCCGCGCCTTACGCTACGCGCCGCCGCCGCCGCCGTCTATCCGTCTATCCGTCTAGCACCTCTCGCCACCACACCGCGCGCGTTGTCGTCGTCATCCCCGCGCGAGGTCGTGATCTAACCCGTCGTCCAATCCGTCCCTCCCGAGCATCACCCCGCCGACGATGCGCTTCGTCTCGCCCTCGGCGCGCCGCCGCTCGTACGCGTCCCATCCGTTCGTCTCCCTCAACCGCGCCGCGTCCAACGCGACGCAGCCTCGCAGCGAGAGCGTCGTCAGCGACGCACACCCGAGCAGGACGTCCTCACGCACCGCGGTCACGCCCGTGCGGTCGAGACCGAGCGTCTTGAGCGCGCGCAGGCGTCCGAACGCGCGCGGCGTCGCCGTCACCGCCGGGTTGCCGTCTAGGCGAAGCTCGACCAACGCGACGCACGCGCCGAGATGTCGCAACCCGGAGTCGGCGCCGTCGGCACCCTCTGCACCCTCGGCACCCTCCGATATTCGCCCGTTCGACCCCGCCGCGACCGCGTCGTCGTCGTCGTCGTCTCTCTCGTCGTCGTCGTCTCTCTCGTCGTCGTCGCCGGCGCGAAAGGCGATGTTATTCCGCGCCAAGTCCAGGCGCGTCAGGCGCGTCAGCGTCCGCACGCTCGCGGGCACGCGCGTCAGCTCGTTGTCGCTGACGACGAGCTCCGTCAACTTCGCGAGCGACCCGATCTCGCGCGGCAGCTCGCGGAGTTTGTTCCCCTCCAGTCGGAGCGTCCTCAGCGCGCGCATCGCGCACAGCGAGCTCGGCAACGATCGGAGTCGATTGAACGACGCGTTGAGCTTGTGCGCCTTGACGAGCGACGCGAAGCACGCGTCGTCGAGCGCCGCGATCGCGTTCGCGCTGACGTCGACCACGCGCGCGGCGTCGCCGAGCGACGGGACGTACGCCGGCAGCGCGGTCAGGCCGGCGTCGCGTTCGGTCACGATGCCCGTCTTTCGCGCGGAGGCTTCGCGCTTCGCGGTCGCCTCCGCGCGGCCGCGATTCCAGGACGACCCGCATCGCTCGAAAGCGACGGCGACGTCCGCGACGCGGTCGTCGAACCAGCCGGAGACGCTCGAGAAGAAGTCGCTCATCGGTCGCGCGACCTCCTCGCCCGTGCGTCTCGACGCGCGCGCATCTCGAATGGTGGCCACATCAATAATCTCGCGACTGCGTGCTCGACGCAAACCTGCCCGCGCCTCGAGCGAACGGGTAACTTTTTGCGCTGTAGTACGTACGAAAATTAATATCTGACTGCTCTTCGTACGATCCCAGGTCATAATCCCAGCATAATCTGGAGATCTCTATCCGGCATCGTCATCACCGCTCGCGTTTGCCTCCTTTGGCCGCGTGGCATCAAAAAGCGAAATTGTTGTTACCCGGGCCGAAGAAGGCTTCCGACGGGTTGGCGCGCGTCCGGACTCTCGCGCGCGCGGTGCCACAACGCACGCGACGGGATGAGCAACGTGTGCGATTATTGCGCGGTCGCGCCGGCGATCATATTCTGCCGCGCGGACAGCGCGAAGCTATGCGCGCAGTGCGACGCGTCGGTGCGTCCCCGACCGCCAACGCGAGCGCCCGGTTTTCCCCGAGGATGCGCCCCCCGTCATTTCAGGTTTTCAGCGGCGTCGCGCGCGGGCGGGGGCGGCGCGGCGCGTCGCGCGCGAGCGTCCGTTTCTCCGCGACTTCCGGGATGGACGCGTCGCGCACCTTTTGAAATCGTTCGTTCCGTCTCCGCGCGCGTTCGAGGCGGGGTGTCGCCGCGAACGCGCGCGGAACGCGCGACGCCTCGGACGGATGCGAACGACGCTTTTTCTCCTCCTCCGCGTTCGCGTAATTCCCCGTCGCGCCGACGCGGACGCTGACCTCCGCCCCCCTCCCCCGCGCAGGTGCACTCGGCGAACCAGCTCTCGAGACGCCACGTCCGGTCGTGGCTCTGCGACGGATGCTACGCGTCCAGCGCGACGGTGCGCCCCGCTTCGTCGCGCGCGCGTCGTTCCCGCCCGTCGCTTCTGGGTTTATAACGCGACGTTTGGGGGACCCGCGCTGCATCTGCAGCTTTTTCTCCTCGCCCGCGCGTCTCGCGTCTCGGCTCGCCTCGATCGGCGTCGAGATCTCGTCGCGTCCCCCTCCGACGACCTAAACTAAATTAATCAAACCCCCGAAAAAAACCCTTCAAACGCGCAGGTGAGCAACCCGGACGATAAGGTGGTCATGTGCGGCCCGTGCGACACCCTCGCTCGGTCCGCGGACATGTTTAAGCAGTCGCGCACGGATCACCGACGCGAGACGCTGAAATCGTTTTCGCTCGCCGAGGACGCGGGCGAAGATTCCTACGACGGCGGCGTCGACCTCGCGCGGCATCCGTTCAAGTCGCAGTACACGCTCCGCGGCGGCGTCACGAGCGGCGACGCGAGCGGCGGCGGCGTGAAGGTGGAACACGACAACTCTCGCGAGGGGAGCGCTCCCGCGCCTGGCGACGGCGGCATGGGCGACGCCGGCGCGGGTTCCTACGACGGCTTCAACCGACCGCGCGTCGGCATCGCGCCGCCGAGGCAGGGCGCGCCTGGCGTCGCGAACGTCGGTCAGTTTTACGGCGGCGCGCCGTATTTCGGCGGCGGCGTCGCGGGGGGACCCGCGCCCGCGCCCGGACCCGGACCCCTGGCGCGAGAGCATCACAACGCGCGAACGCAGTGGCCGGCGCCGGGATCCGCGTGGCCCGCGCCGGGGCGCGCGTCGCCGCGATCGTCCGCGCACCTCGAGCCTTGGAACGCCGCCGCAGGGCCGTACGGCGGGTCGAACGCGAACGGGGTCGGGACGGGCGGCCAGACGGGCGGCCAGACGGGCGAGCCCGGGGTGGATTACCTTCAGCGGATGGGATCCGGCAGTTCCATCTACTCGGACATGGGCGGCGTCATCGCGCAGTGGGGGACGAACCCGAGCGCGCACGCGGCGCTGATGCGCACGCCGTCGGACCCCATCGACATGTTCATGAATTTCAACGCGAGCCAGGGCGGTTTATCCCCCACGACGAGCGAAGGCGCGGGCGGCGGCGGCGGCGGCGGGTTCGGCGCGACGGCGAGATACGGCGACTCGACCGGGTTCGGCGTCGGCGGGCCGAGCGGCGCCGGGATGGGGATGCCGCCGGTGGGCGGGTACCCGGTCGCCGCGTTCGCGCACGCGCCGCCGTACGCGTATCAGCCGCCGCAGCCGTTGACGCGCGGGCCGCCGTCGAGCGGCGAGATGGTTGGCGGCGGCGGCGGCGGCGACACCAGCGCGAGGAGCGCGTCGCCGCCGTCCGGAGCCGGCGGCGAGCTGTACCGCGACAAGCGCGCGAGCAACAACAGCAGCGGCTACGGCTCCGGGGGCTCGCACTACAACCTCGTCGCGTTGTCGTCGCAGCAGCCCGGGTCGTTTCAACACGCGCCGGGCCAGCCGGGGCTGCACGCTCCGGCGCACAGCGGCGGGCAACCGATCGGGTACGCGCCGCCGCCGTTGAACGCGCACCACCACCACCACCACCACCACAGCGGCGTCGGGCCGGGGCCGGGGAGCTCCGGCGGGTTCTATCCGCCGTACGGCGCGAGCGTCGCGGACGGGATGTACGCGCAGGGGCCGTACAATCCACACGGCGTGCCGCCGCCGATGCACTTTTCGTCTCGACCGGGGAGTTACTCGGGCGGGCTCGCGCACGGGTACCGCTCCGGAAGCGGCGGCAGCGACAACGGCGGGCTGTCCAACCGCGGGTCATACGGCGACGGCGGCGGCAACAGCAGCGGCGACGGCTCCGGGTCGAAGCAGGTTGGCGGCAAGGACGGCGCCGGCGTGGACAGCGCGCGGTCGGGAGACTCGGCGAACACGCGCGCTCACGGCTCCATGGCTCCGGGCACCGCGGGACGCAAGGACATGCTCGCGAGGTATCACGAGAAGCGCATGCGACGGCTGTTCAAGAAGAAGATTCGCTACGCGAGCCGTAAGGTGCGCGCGGACAACAGAGTGAGGATTAAAGGGCGGTTCGCGCGCGCGGACGCGCCCATCGCGGCCATCGACAAGAGCTCCGTGCACAAGCACAAGGACGTCGTCAAGGCGGAGGAAATTCCGATCGACGGCGACGGCGAGGAGACGGAGGCTGGGCCGCTCGCGACGCCAGCGATACCGCCCGGCGCGTGCGCGTGAGCGCGCGCGTCGTCCAGTCTGACGCGCTCACTAATACGCGTCAGTACTGAACCCGGGACCCGGGACCCTTACACGACGGACGGGACGCGTTACGCCGCGGCTAAGAAGAGCCGCGCGCGAGACCGCCCGCATCGTTCGTTTTTTTTCACCATCATCACACCCCGCCGCTCGAGACGCGTCGCCGCCGCGGTTGATGGCGGGTTCGGGAGACTGGCTCGAACCCTTCGTCGACCGCGCGCGCGACCGCTCGAGCGAAGGACGGGCTCCGCCCTGGGTGACGTTTGGTCATTATTTTATATTCTTTCGCCGATTTGGCGCGCGTCGACGTGGCCACGACGACACTCGTCGTCGCTCGTCGCGCGCGAGAGGTTTTCTGTATCAACAAGGGACAGGCCGCTTTAGAAGACTGACACGATATTATTGTAACAAAAGTCATAGCTAGAGATAAAGAATCACGTCGTCGCGACGCGCTTTGCGGCGACGCCGCGACGTCGTCGGGCGTCGTCGTCGCGTCGTCCGTCAGCTCTTTTCACCCGCGCCTCCTCCTTTGCCCACGACCGCGCCTCCGCACCCGCCCGGGGCGTCCCCAGGAACCTCGTACTCCCCGTCCACGTGCTGCGGCTCGACCTGCATCTCGTAGTTCCCTCGTTCGTTCCCGCGCGCTTGCACGACGTGCAGGCGGATGAATGACTCCGCCTCGACGCCCTCCTGGATCTTCTTTCTCGCCTCCTCCGGTCCGAGGCTCCGGGACTCCTGCGCGCGCGGAGGGATTAGGGTTTAGGAGGGGGCGTCAGCGCTTTGGACGGACGACGCGACGCGCGGCGGGCGCGGCGGGGTGAGACGCGGAGGAGGGTCGATCGGTCGGCGATCGATGAATCGTTCGCCGACCGATCGCGGGGGGTTCGCGTTCGTTCGTCGTCGTCGTCGTCGTCGTCGTCACTCGCCTCGAAGTGCTTGCGGATCTCCCTTCCCGACGCCGCGAGCGCGGTCGCGTCGCCTCGGAACGCGTGCGACCGCGCTCGGAGGAGCGACCGGAACAGCCCTCGCGCGGTCGGGAGCGCGCTCATCCCGGTCGTCGCGCGACTCGATCTGGCGGACGGGCGGACGACTTTTCTTTTCGTCGGGCGAACAGATCTGATGCGCTCCCCGCCCGCGCCTCCCTCGTCCGCTCCTCACTCGGCGACGCGCGCTCGAGTCGTCGCCCTCCCTCGCCGCTAAACATGCGCACAATGCGCGTCCCGAGCACGGACGGCGTCGTGCTCGCGGTCCACGACCACGGCGTCGTGACGCGCGCGGCGGACGGCGCGTCGTCGTCGTCGTCCAAGTCGCCGAAGGAGACGACGACGAAGACGAGCGACCTCGTCACGCTCCTCCTCGCGCACGCGAACGGGTTCCACGGCCGCGTCTTCGACCCGGTCGTCGACGCGATGACGCGCGCGCGAAACCTCCCCTTCGACGTGCGCGTCGTCGCGTTCGACTTCCGCGGTCACGGGCGCTCGAGCGCGCCGACGACGACGCCGAGCGCGGAGGATTCGTATCGATGGGAAAAGTTCGCGGAGGACGCGCGCGCGGTCGTCGCAAATCTCAACCTTCGAGGCGCCTGCGTCGGCGTCGGGCACAGCCTCGGCGCGCACGCGCTGCTCCGCGCGGAAGCGGCCGACCCGGGGACGTTCTCCAGCGTCCACGCGTACGAGCCCGTGTTCGTCGTGAGCGCGGACAGGGTCCCGGGGCCGCCAGCGCCGCCGGCGAATCTCGCCGCTGCCGCGTCGCGACGACGCGAGACGTTCGAGAGCAGAGAAGACGCGTTGCGCGCTTACGCGTCCAAGCCGCCGCTGAGCGCGCTGCGCCGAGACGCGCTCGAGGCGTACGTCGACCACGGGTTCGTGGACGCGGAGGCGGAGGCTGCTGACGCGAAAGAGAAGAAGCTCACGAAGGGCGGTCGTCGCGACGGCGGCGGCGACGCGGCGGCTGCGGTCGATCGCGCGAGAGGACCGGTGACGCTCGCGTGCCCGCGCGACGTGGAGGCGCTCGTGTTCGAGCGCGGCGGCGAGGAGCGCGACGCGATCGCGATCGTGAGCGGCGGGCGGAGCGCGTGGGACGGCGGCGATAAAGGCGGGGATCGAACCGGCGGCGGATCGGATAGTGCTAGTTTCGGACGACGCGCGACGGTTCGATACTTTGGCGCGCGGTGCCCCGTGACGATTTCGCGCGGCGCCGCGACGGATCCGAGGGATCGCTCGAAAGGGATGTACGCGTCCGCGATCGCGCCCGTCGTCGCGGGGGACCTCGGCGATAACGCGAGGGTGGAGACGCACGACGCGTTGGGTCACTTCGGTGCGTTCTATACACTGGTCCCCATACGACCGCGTTCGCGTGGTGAACGCCGTTTCTTAAGGACTTTTCCCGGCGCATCTCTCCGCCTACCCCTCGCTTTCAATCCCCGCCCGCGACGCCTTTCAACTCCAACTGACGCCTTTCAACTCCACCCCGACATTCGCTCGTATGGAACGACCCTTAGGCCCGCTGGAGGACCCGGAGACGTACGTGGAGAGCGTGTGGAGGCACGCGGAGTGGGCGGCGGACGTCGCGGCGGCGGCGGCGACGGCGGCGGTCGGCGGGGACGGACCGATCGTCGCCAAGGCGCGGAGCCGGATGTGAGGGGATGCGCGTGTCGTGTGTAGGCGTTTTGGTGTAGACGAAGTATCGTAGTCGAAGGCTTCACGCTCGACGGTCGCGCGTCGACGCGCATCCGTCTAGGGCAATCCCGCTCGTCTCTTCTTCGCGGCGCTCCCCACCCCCTCGTTCTCCACGACGAATACGTCGACCCCGCACTCCGGAGGCAGCGCCACGCGAACCGTCCCCGACGCGCTCCCCGCGTCGCGGATCGCGCGCGCGCCCCTTCGCGCGCCGTCCGAGAGCGCGAACTCGTCCCCGGACCATCCGAAGACGCGCTCGTCCGAAAACGCGTCCGACGCGGTCGCGACCGACGCGCACGTGTCCGTGTCTGACACCGTGACCGTCGTCGTCGTCACCGCCGCGTCTCTCGGCGCCGCGACCGCGGGCGTCGGCCCGGTCGACGGCGGTCCGAGCGACGGCAGGATCGACCCCGGGAGCGGCTTCACCCCTCTCGGCGCGTGGTTCAGCCACACGTTGGCGAGAAACGTGATCCGCCCGCCGCCGCCGCCGCCGCCGCCGTCCGCCAACTCTCGCAACACCCCATGTAACATCCTCCCGTCGAACGACACGTGCTTCCCCGCCTCCGGGTAGCTCGCGCACATCGCGCTCGCGCGCGGGCTCCCCGCGGACGTAACATCGTCTCCGCCGCCGCCGCCGCCGTGCCCTCTCGCGACCGGCCCGGCGACGACGCCCTCGAACACCACCGTCGGCGCCTGACGCGTCCCGCCTGAACCGCCGCCGGTGAGGTACGTCACCGTGCTCACCTGCGGGTGCACCCACAGCCCGGTCGCGACGCGCAGCTCCTCGTCCTTGTCCCAGTGCAACTTCAGCGACGGGCGCGCTTGGACCCACCACTCTACGCCGCTGCTGGATTCCTCGAACGCGTCGGGACCGCGAAGATCGCGCGTGTGGAACGCGAAGATCGCGGCCGCGAGCTCCTCGAGCGCGCACCGCGGCGCGCGCGCGGCGCGCGCGCTCAGCCAGTGCGTCGCCGCGTCGCCCGCCAACGGCGAGTCCACGAGCAGCGCGTCCGCGACGAGGTCGTCGATGGACGACGGCGGCGTCGACGGCGACGATGATGTTAAATCGTTCTCGTCTTCGGACGTCGGCGATCGACCGCCGGCGGGGACCAGCGGCGCGAACGCGTCGAACGCGCGGAAGGCGTAGTCCAACCCTTCGCCCGCGCCGAAGACGCGCCCGTCGGCGTCGAGGACGACGCACAGGTCGTCGCTCTCGGACTCGGACCCGGAGGCCATGGCGACGGCGCGGCGCGTCGTGACGAGCGCGCGCGCGGAGACAGTAGGACGGAAGTAGTGTTCCTTCGTTCATCACTTCTCGGAGACGCCGACGGCCAAACTCCTTTCTCTGCCCTGAGCCACGACGGCCGCGCGCCACTCCCCGCGCCCGCGACCATGCGCGTCCGCGCCGTCCGCGCCGTCCGCGTCCCTCCCCTCGCCCCCGCCTCCGTCGCGCGCTCGCGACGCGCCGCCATCCGACGCGCGCGCTTACCCGCGCGCGCGCCTCCCACCCCGCGCGTCTTCTCGTTCGAGGGCGAGGCCGCCACGGAGGACGTGCTCGAGTCGTCCGCGGACCGCGGTGAGCCCTCGACGACGACGACGACGACGACGACGACGATGAAGACGACGACGGCACCGCGCGCCGCGCGTTCCTCAAGCGCCGCGCACGCGGGCACGCGCGCGGTCGAGGAGCGCCCGGGCGCGCCGCCGACGCCGTCCGCGCGCTACCCGACGGTCACCGCGGTCGACTACGAAAAAGTCCCGCCGAACGCGACGCGTCTGCCGCCGCCGGACCTCCACGGACACGACTCGCCGCGGTTCGAGGAGGTGCGTTCTATACACTGGTCCCCATACGACCGCGTTCGCGTGGTGAACGCCGTTCCTTAAGGACTATTGCCGGCGTGTCTCTCCGCCCAGGGTCCCTCGCTTTCAATCCCCGCCCTCGGCGCCTTTCAACTCCACCTGACGCCTTTCAACTCCACTGTCGAGGAGGTGATATCGCGCCGCCGATCGTGCCGCGACTTCGCGCCGCCGCCCCTCGGCCTCGTGCACTTGTACGAGATCGCGCAGCTGTGTTGGGCGGGTCAGGGGTTGACCGCGCCGGAGGAAGCGCCGGATAAGGTGCGTTCTGTCCTGTGCCTACACTGGTTCCCATACGACCGCGTCGGCGTGGTGAACGCCGATCCTTAAGGACTTTACTTCCCGGCGTTTCTCTCCGCCCATCTCTCGCTTTCAATCCCGACACACCTCGACGCCTTTCAACTCCGCTTCTGACGCCTTTCAACTCCACCCCGATATCATCGCTCGTATGGACCCTCGACCCTCAGTACGGTCACGCCGGCGCGGCGTCGCGCGCGGCTCCGAGCGGCGGCTGTCTCTACCCGCTCAACCTGTACGTCGTCGTCGCCCCGGGCGGCCGCGTCGGCGGGCTCGACCCCGGGGCGTATCGGTACCTCCCCGCGTCTCACGCGCTATGCGCGCTGAGTCCGAAGGGAGACGAGCGATGCGCGGACGACGCCGCGTCCAGGCGCGCGACGCGTCGGACTCCGAACCACACGTTCGTTTTTGACACGTGGAAGTACTGTAATTCCATCCGTATCCACCAATCACGCACCCGCGCGACTGACACGCGTGCGTCTTCTTCCCACTGCAGGGCGGAGATCGAGAATCTCGGCGAGGCGGTCTGCTTCGACGCCGCCGCCGCCGACGGCGTCCACGGCGCGCTCGCGCGGTCCACGAGCGCGCAGGCGAACTCGACGGAGTACCAGACATGGATCGACGACTCCGCCGTCGTCGTGCTCGTCACCGGGAACGTTCGCGCGACGGCGAAGCACGGAGGACTCTACCGGCGATTCGCGACCGAGCTGGTTACGACCGAAGCCGGGATGGTCGCGGAGAACGTCGTGTTACAGGCGACCTCGCTCGGCCTCGGGGCGACCCCTATCGGCGCGTTCGACGCGCGCGCGATTCATCGGACGCTGCCTTTGAAAGAGACGGGCGAGGACCCGCTCGTGATGCTGGCCGTGGGCGTTCCGAAAGGGAGCTTCAGGGAGCACCACGGCCACGGCCGCGCGGAGGACGAGCAGAGCGCGAGGGCGGCGGAAGTCGCCGCGAAAGGTGAGGAGACTGCTCGCCGTACGACCCGATGACTTACTTTACTTTACCATCGTCGTCGCGTCGTCGCTCTTCACCCTGCGCGCGCTTCGCTTTCAACGCGCGCTCGACCGGAGCGACGCGCGACTGACCGACGCGTTCACCCCGACCGAAGCCAAAGCCGCGGAGGAGGCGGCGGCGAGAGAGCGCGCGATGCGAGACGCCGCGACGCCGGAGAAGGAGGAAACGCACGACGTCGAGGCGTGATGACGACTTCGACGACGCGACGGACGACGCGCGCGCTGCCCTGACGAGTGAACGCCGCGACGCGGCCGAGGCGCGAGCGAGCGAGCGAGCCAAAGAACGAATGAACGACGAACGACGAACGACAGACGACCGATCGAGAAAAAATAAATCGTGAAAAAATAGGTCATCGCTGCCGCCGCCGCCGCCGCCCTAGTCGCTCTTCTTCCGCGTCCCGTACTTCTTCTCGTGCGCGTGCGTCCCCGGAATCTCCGCGAGCTGCGACTCCGGTCTGCCCTTGACGAACGCGAGCACGATGAGCGCGCACGCGGAGACGGCGAAGTAGTTTCCAAACGTCTTCGAGTTTTTCGCGAAGATCGCGCCTCCCGTGCCCGTCTCCGCGAACCTCGCGCACACGTGCGCGACGAGTCCGTCCACCATTCCCAGCGTGAGCGGCATGAACGACGCGCCGCCGCGCTCGGTCTGCTTCCCGAACGCGCACACGAGCTTCGCGATCGAGGTCATCACGAGAAGGCACCCTATGATCTGGAAGACGAACGGCGCGGTGACGCACGACTTGGCGCAGACTTTCCCGCCGCACGCGCCGAAGACGCCGTCGGGATCCACGCTCGCGAGGAGCGGGAAGATCGCGCCGGGGAGGAGCGCGACCTGCTTGACGCCGACGAGGAGCGAGACCGCGTTCATCGGCGCGAGGATCGCTTTGAGGTACAAGGGGGCGTCCGCCATCGTCGACGTCGGGCGATGCCGTCCGCGCCGCGATTTGTGACCGATGTGCGTTCGCAGTGCGAGCAGAGTCAGGTAGCAGAGTCGCGGTTTTTCGAGGGCGGCTGGATGGATGTGTTTTCCTTCGTCACCCTCTACCTCGACTCGCGCCAAACGTGCTATTCGTCCGTCCGTCGTCCACCGCGCCGCTCGTCATCTCGTCTCTTCGTCGCGCTATCATATTCGTCGTCTCTAGGCGTCTCATCACTTCAGGAACACGCGCAGGCGAAGCGAGCGCTTCATCTTCTTGTCGTTCACCTCGAGGTCGATCCGCCGCGCCGTTCCGTCCTCCGCCGCCGTTCCTGCCCCCGCGACGTCGTCCGCGTCGTCGGGGACTAAATCGACGAGCTTCTTCCCCAGGTTCGCCCTCGTCTCCTCCTCGAACACGCCGCGCATGTACAGATGCCCCGCCGTCGCCGACGACACGCTCGGCTTCTCGCACTGGTTCGGAAACTTCTTCACGCACGCGTCCACGACGTCTCCCAACGCGACGTCCCGCGAAAACTCAACGCGGACGCCGGGAGAGCACGCGGGGCACTCGTCGTCCTTCTCGTACGCCACCGTGTGCGTGTACACGCCCTCGCGGCCGTTGTACATCATGAAGTTGTTCATCCCCTTGACCGCCATCGTCACCATCTTGAACACTTCTAAGGGCCGTTCCATACGAGCGAACGTAGGGGTGGAGTTGAAAGGCGTCAGTTGAAGTTGAAAGGCGTCGAGGACGGGGATTGAAACCGTGGTGTGGGCGGAGAGAAACGCCGGGGAAAGTCCTTAAGGATCGGCGTCCACCTCGCCAACGCGGTCGTATGGGGACCAGTGTATAGAACGCACCTAACGCGCACGCCGCGGCGACGATCGCGTTGGTGCTCGGAATGGCCGGAATGATATTCTTGACGACGCCCAGAGTGTGACGGTACGTCACGCCCTCGATCTCGTGCGCCTCCGCGCGAATTTTCGCGCGCTCGTACACCCACGCGACGTGCTCTTGAACGTCCCCGTCGAAGGTTTCGTTCGGCCGCTCCTTCCCCCACTGAATCAGCCGCGCGTACTCCACGCAGTGCGCGGCGCACCGCGGCGTCTCCGCGATGGTGCACAGCGGGAACCCCTTCTGGGGTGGGAACAACCACCGCGTGCACTCGAAGCACGGCGTGATCCCGGGGTATATGACCCTCGCGTGGCCTTTGAAACCCTGCGCGATGTTTGCGAGAGAAGGAGGGAACGGAACGACGTGTTAATAAGAACGACCCGCGGGAAACGAACGGTCTCTTCGATCGACGGGAAACGGTCTTCTTCGGTCTTCTCACCTCGGTGCCGCCGTCGACCATCGGCTTGATGGTCTCGCGAATCACCTCGTCGTTCTCGTCGAACTCTAAGAACCCGCACGCGACGGCGTTGAGGTACGACCTGGCCTCGATGGAGTCTAAGCCCATGACGAGGACGTGGAACTGTTGGTACCACTCGTCGGGCTTGTCTTCGATCCGGCAGTGATGCGGCGTGACCTTGCACCCCGAGATGCGTCGCTCGATCGCTTCCGCCGCGCAGATGGCCTTGCTCTTCCCGACGTCCTGATCGCGAAACAAGAACTGCCGGTTCAAGTTCGAGACGTCGATCGTGTCCATGTCGATGACGTGAATGTCCTTAAACCCGGACAGCCCGAGGTCTTTCAGGAGCTCGCACCCGAGCCCGCCCGCGCCGACGACCAAGAGTTTCACGTGATCGTGCAGCAGCGTCTTCACGTCCTCGCCCGGCTCGAACCCCGGTCCGGCGAACCGTCCGGGTCTCAGGAGGAGGTAGTCGATGTCGCGCCATCTCCCGGGGCCGTCGCCGCGGTGGTCGACCTCGCGCAGCGGGTGGTCGTCGTCGCCCTGCATCGCGCGCGGCGCGTCGTGGATCTGATCATGAGACGTCGCGCGCGTCGTCGTCGTCCTGTCCGACGAAAAAGAGAAGAGAGTCGATTTGAAAACCACGCCACGCCGCGCCGGTCTGGTCGTCGCAGTGACGCGGGCGCGCGATGTCGTCCCGCCCGGGCGCGGACGCGATTCCCGTCGCGCGGCCGAAGCACCTCGGCCGCGGCGACGCCGCGAGGGACGCGCGGAGGGAGACGCTGCGTCTCGTCGCGGATCTGGACGCGTTCCTCGAGCGCAATCTGAAGCGCGCGTCTCAGCTGACGGCGTTCGCGCCTCCGTCGACGTCGTCGCCGTCGCCGCCGACGCGACGGAACCCCGCGAAGAGCGCGTTCAACGCCGCGACGCCGAGGAGCGAGGCGGCGCGCGAGGACGCGACTGCGACGGCGACGGCGTCGACGTCGTCGGCGACGGCGACGGCGACGTCTCCCGCGCGCGTCGCGGGGACGGACCGCGCGACATCGTCGTCGTCGTCGCCGCGTCGCGGCGGCGGCGTGGACGCGCCGCTCCTCGCGTCCCCGGTCGCGAGCGCGAGCTACGGCGCGGCGGACAGACCTCGAGCGCGCCGGTCGCTCGTCACGACCCCGGCGCCGGTCGCGCCGGGGTCGGCGAGGGAGAGGAAGACGGCTTCGGAGCGGGAGGGAGACGCCGAGCGAGGAGGAGGAGGAGGAGGAGGAGGAGGAGGAGGACGCGGCGGCGGCGGAGGGAGGTTCGCAGCCATCGATCGCGTCCTCGCCGTGCGCGAGCGTCGCGCCGCGCGGGACCCTCCGCGCGCTCCCGTCGCCGCCGCGACGACGACGGAACGACACGCCGCCGCTTCCGACGCGTCCTCGTCGTCCGACGACGACGACGACGACGACGACAACGTCGGACGTCGCGTACGCTTCGACGGCGACGCGTCCGATATCGTGAACTCGCTCAAGGCGAACGCCGCGGCGATGGCGGCGATGGTCGCGGAGGTCACCGCGACCGCGATCGCGCGAGCCGAGGGCGGCGGCGGCGCGCGGGTCGTGAACTACTCGTCGTCTTCCTCGGAGGAGGAGGACGACGACGACGACGACGACGACGCGCAGCTGTGCGCGGTCCCGTCGGGCCTCCGCGCGTACTCGCCGCTCGCGAGCCCGAGACGACGTCTTAAGCCGACGGCGGCGACGTGGTCGCCGACGCGTAAAGGCAGCGTGCACACCGCGCAGCAGCGGCAGCACGCTGCGGGCACGAAACCGAAATCGAAAACGGTCGAGGCGCAGCCGTTAGACGACGACGACGACGCGGTTCTCGAGGAGCTTCGAAGTCTCCGCGCGCGCTTACGCCGCGACCCGAACCCCAACGGTCCGTCGCCGGGCTCCTCCGCGGCGTCGCGATCGCGCGGCGCGCGCGTCTCGAGCGCGCTGCGCGACGTCGAAGACGCCGCGGCGACGAGGATACAGGCGCGCTACCGCGGCGGCGTCGAACGCGCGGCGTTACCGATGTTTGAAAAAGCCGTCCGACACGCGTCGCGCGCGGCGGCGCGGCGGCTTCGACGCGCCGCGCGCCTCGCGATCGCCGCCTGGGCGTCGCTCGCGCGCGCTCGACGCAGGCTGCGCTCGAAAGCGCGCGCGTGCGTCATCAAGCACGGGAAGTGGGCGCATCATCACCTCGGCGGCAGCGTCGGAAGAGCCGGAGAGGCGGCGGCGTGGCGAGCGCGCGACGACGACGGCGTCGCCGGCGTCGCCGACGCGTTTCGAGACTGGCGTCACGCGGCGTGGTCGTTCACGCGATGGCGCGAGTGGGCCGCGTTTGAGGCGCCGGTCGTGAACGCGAGAGAGGGCAGTGATGCGGCGGCGTGTTTGAGCGTGAGCGTCAGCGGGGAGCTCGTGCGGAAGTCGGTGGGGGACGGGACGATCGAAGTCGTCGCGGGCGGCGGCGCGATCGGCGGCGGCGGCGGAATAGGCGGTCGAGGCGGACGACGGCGCGCGGAGCTTTCGAGTTCTTCTTCTTCCTCCTCGTCCGAGAGCGAAGAGGAGAGGGAGGTCGTTGGGAGAGCGCGCGCGTGGAGGACCGCGCGGGAGGACTCGGACTCGGACTCGGACTGGTGACGCCGTGCTGAACAAAATACCTGAGTAGTACAACTAGTCATCACTCAGCTGCAGCTGCGCAGCTGTCGCTTTCGCGTTCAAGCGTCTTCGCGTCGACCAACGCGCTTCGCGCGCGCGTCGTCAGAGCCGACCGCGTCGTCCGTCCCCGCGGGTCTTCGCATGCGCGCCGCGCCCGGGTCCAGCAGCGCGATGACGCTCGGTGGCGTCGCGCGACGCGTCGGACGCGCGCTCGGCGCGCGCGTCGCGTCCGCGGCGTCGTCGATCCCCGCGGGCGGTTTTCGAACGACGACGACGCGCGCGCCCGACGAGATCGCGCGCCGATCCGCGGCGCCGTCCATCGCGCGCGTCCGCGGAAGCGCCGCCGCGCGATTCGCGCTCCCGCCGCGCGAGCGGCGCGCGTCGTGGATCGCGCGCGCGGACGGCGCCGCGCGCGAAGACGCGCTCGCGTCGTCGTCGTCGTCGTCGTCGTCGTCGTCCTCGGACGAGCACGACCATCTCGCGTCCCCCGCGGACGAGACGCACGGCGCGTCCTCGCCGTCGTCCGACGCCGCGTTCTGGCACGCGCAGGTCACGGGCCCGAGCGTGAGGCAAACCGCGCGGCGGATGGCGCGTCGACTCGACTTCGCGAACCCCCTGGGCGTGAACCTGTCCATGAAGGGCGCGTCCACGACGGAGCGCGCGGACGGCACGAGACCCGCGAGCGCGCGAACGACGCTGTACGACTACGCCAAGGGCGTCAAGGCGACGCATCCGCGCAAAGTCCTCCTCGTCCGCGTCGGCGAGTTCTACGAAGCCATCGGCTACGACGCGGTGATGCTCGTCATGCACGCGGGCCTGAACCCGATGGGCGTCTCCGGCGTCCCGCGCGCCGGGTGCCCGATCGTGAAGGTGCGTTCTATCTCACACTGGTCCCCGTACGACCGCGTCGGCGTGGTGAACGCCGATCCTTAAGGACAAAAATGCCCGGCGCATCTCTCCGCCCATACAGTACATCAATCCCCGCCCTCGGCGCCTTTCAACTCCGCTTCTGACGCCTTTGAACTCCACCCCGATATCATCGCTCGTATGGACCCTCGACCGTGAAGATCCAAGAGACGCTCGATCGCCTCACCCAACGCGGCTACGCGTGCGTCGTGTGCGAGGAAGTCCCATCGATGAACCCGTACGGCACGCGCGCGCCGCCGAAGGAGCGCTACGTCGCCGCGGTCGTGACCCCGGCGTCGCCGCAGTACGTCGTCGGCGCCGCGGAGCACGGCGACGACGTCGCGTTCGACTCCGCCGCGCCGCCGCCCGTCGTCGGCGTCGCCGCGACGTCCGCGGGGTACACGATCGTCGCGGTGAGACTGCCTCCCGTACGACCCCGTTCGCGTTGTGAACTTCATTCCTTAAGGACTTTTGCCGTCATCACTCTTCACCCGCGCTTCCCTTTCAACGTTCGACCGGTAAGACGTTCGACTGACCGATCGCTTCACCCACGCAGGTCGAGCCGGATTTGCGTCGCGTCGTCGTCGCGGAGGGACTCACCGCGGAGAGCGCGGCGGCGAAACTCGCGGTGGGGGGCACCGCGCCGCCGTTGTATCGCCACGTCAGCGTGGACCGCGGGCACGCGGCGCGCGGGAACGCGAGCGCGGGCGTGACGGGGTCGACGCGGCGTCTGCGCGCGGAGGTGGAGGGCATCCTATCCGCGGCGTGCGCGGACGGCTCCTTCATCGAGCAGCAGCGGTACGGGCACGACGTGAGGGGAGACGATCCGGTGGAGGGCTTACTGGAGCTCGTCCGGAGGGAGTACGGGCTCGCGCCGGACGCGGCGTTCGAGACGGTGACGGCGAAGGCGACGTCGTGCGCGCGAACGGGGAAGCCTCGACCGGCGCCGCTGACGCTCGCGACCGCGCAGCAGCTCGGGGTGTTGCCGACGCGGAGCGTGCCGCCGCTTCTGTCGCACGTCCTCCCCGCGAGCGCGGGCGCGCCCGCGGCGTGCAGGGCGTACCTGCAGGAGTTGTTGCTGCACCCGCCGCCGCGCGACGTCGCGGCGAAAATTTCGACGGCGGCGGCGGCGTTGACGAGCTCGACGATCGCGGGCGGCGTGCCGCGGCTGGAGGTGACGCCGCCCGGGAAGGTCGCGAAGCTGCTGCGCACGCGCGAGGGCTCGCATGTGTTCTTCGCGGAGGTGGTCGCGATGGCGCGCGCGGTGAGGAAAACGCTGACCCACGACGCGGCGGAGATTAGAACCGCTGGGGAGTGTTTACTGTCGCCGACGGGGTTGAAGGTTGGTCGACGCGTCGACGCGCGCGCGCTCGCGGAGAGGTGCGCGGAAGCGGAGGCGATCATCGCGCGCGTCGTCGCCGCGGAAGCGCTCGAGGGCGGCGGCGCGTGCGGCGGGTACGAGCGCGAGAGGGCGCGCGACGACGACGAAGAGGGCGAACACGCCGTCGTCGACGACGACGACGACGCCGCCGCGTTCGACGCCGACGCGTTCGACGACGCGCACGACGGCGTGAACGACGCGCCCGCGCGCGTGCCGCACGTCCCTCGCGCGTTCGCGCGCTTCAACGAGCCGTGGCGCGGTCGCGTCCGAAGAGACGTCGTCGCGACGGAACTCGCGGCGTGCGACGACGCGTTGAGAGCGCTGTCGCTCGCGATCGAGGAGGACTTGGCGCCCGTGATCGCGGCGGCGGAGGCGCTCGCCGCCGCGAAGACGGCGAAGAACCGCCGGTGCCACCTCGAGCACGACGCGCGGAACAACGCGCTGTGGCTGAGGCACGTCCCGGCGTCCGTCGCGAGAGGGGAAAAAATCGACGGCGACGACGGTGCGATTTCGCCGTTGATCCACCCGCGCGACCGGTACGGCAAGGAAATCTCCGACCGCTGGTCCACGCCTCGCGTCGAGGCGGCGCTCGACGCGTACCGCGTCTCGAGCGCGGCGTGCGCCCGCGCGGTCGCGTCGCGGCTCAAAGCGCTCGCGGACGACCTCGGCGCGCACGTCGCGGACCTCGTCGCCGCGGCGACGTTCAGCGCCATCGCCGTCGCGGTGACGCTCCACGCGACTCGCGCGACGCGGAGAGGGTGGCGGCCGGCGTCGCTGCCGCCGGCGTCCGACGCGACGACGCCGTTTAAAACGGTCGGTTTACGACCGTTTTGGATGGACGACGCCGGGCCCGGGTCCGCGGTGGAGAACGACATCACCCTGGACGGGGTGTCGATCCTCACCGGGCCGAACATGGCGGGGAAGAGCACGGTGTTGCGGTCGGCGGCGGCGTGCGCGTTGCTCGCGTCGTGCGGTTTATTCGTCCCCGCGCGAGAGGCGACGGTGCCGCATTTCGACGCGCTGCTCGTCCGAATGTCGTCCACGGACTCCCCCGCGGAGGGCTTATCCTCGTACGCGGTCGAGATGGCCGAGGTCGGGAGCATGTTGGACGTGGTAACGCCTCAAACGCTGGCGTTCATAGACGAGCTCGGGCGAGGCACGGAGGCGACGCACGGCACGGCGATGGCGGGCGCGGTGATCGAAGCCATCGACCGCGCGGGCGCGCGCGGCATCTTCGCGACGCACCTCCACGGCGTGTTAGACCTGGACCTCGAGCTGTCGCCGTACGCGCGGCGCGTGAAGATGGAGACGGTGAAGGACACAGCTGCGGGCGCGAACGGGAGGGTGCGACCGACGTGGAAGGTGGTCCCCGGCGAGTGCCGCGAGAGCCTGGCGTTGCAGACCGCGATCGACATGGGCGTGAGCGACGTCGTCGTGTCGCGGTCGAAGGCGCTCTTGACGCAGCTGATCGGCTCTGAAGAGCGCTCTTCGATGAACACGAACGCGAACAACAACGCGGTCGATCGCGTCGGTCAGGCCGATCCTTCGCCCGCGCGTTCGCGTTCGCGCCGCGATATCGCGCCGCCGTTGGCGCGGTTGCGCGCGACGCTCGCCGTCGCCGCGGCGTCGCTCCCCGCGCTCGACGGCTGTCAGGACGTCGCCGTGGGGACCGTCGCGCGCGACGAGATTCCCCCGCCCGCGGCTGGCGCGTGGTCGTGCGTGTACGTGGTAAGTTCTTCTTCACACTGGTCCCCATACGACCCCGTCCGCGTGGTGAACGCCGTTTCTTAAGGACTTCGCTCGGCGTGTCTCTCCGCCCACCCCTCGCTTTCAATCCCCGCCCTCGATGCCTTTCAACTCCGCTTCTGACGCCTTTGAACTCCACCCCAGCTGCGACGCGACGACGGGTGGGCGTACGTCGGGGAGACGGACGACCTCGCCGGGCGGTTGGAAGCGCACAGGGCGACGGCGAGGAGGGAGTGCGGGGCCGCGGCCGGGGGCGTCGAGTGCGCGTTCGTCTCCGTCCCGAGGGAGGCGGGGGGGAAATCCGCGGCGAGAGCGTTGGAGGCGCGCGCGATACGCGCGCTCGTTGAGGCGAACGTGCCGCTGCTGAGCGCGTCGGACGCGCGGAACGTCAGCTTTGGAAGCGCGCGGCAGCGGTGACGACTGGACGACGCGAGTGGTAGTGCCGGGCGAGCGCGAGCGCGCCGCGCGCACAGCTGTGTGAAACCAAAAGAATGGTAAACTCCCCGACTCCGCTCGCTCGCCCGGCGCCCCGGCGCGCGCGATCGATGAACGGCGCCGCGGCTAGTCCACGGCGCGTCGGACGTTGTCGTCCGCGGCGCCGACGCTGACCCGCCACGACGTCACGCGCTCGATCGCCCCCTGCGCGCGCTTCCACCACTCCCGCGCCGCGCGCATCGCTCGCGAACGTCCCGCGCGGCGCATCGCGCGCGCGGCGTGCGCGGTCACCTCCAGCGCGCCCGTCACCGGCGCCAACGACGCCGCGAGCGCGCCGTGGAGCGCGTCGCCGAAGAAGCCGCGGCGACCGCGCTCGCGGCGGCGCTTCTTCTCGGCGCGAGGAGCGGACGAGGACGACGGCGCGTCCGCCTCGCGCGTCGCGGTCGCGGTCGCTTCGGCGTCGCCGGTCGCGGTCGCGGTCGCGGTCGCGGTCGTCGTCCCACCGCTACTCGCGCTCGCGGCGGCGGGGGACTTCTTCTCGCGGGTCCTCTCCCTCGCGGGTTTCGGCCGCTCCATCGCGACTCGGACGCCGAGCGCGCGTCCGATCGCGAGCGCGCGTCGGCGGCGCGGCGCGCGCTGACGCGCCGTCGACGGGAAGGGGCGATCTGGTTTAATGTTTGGCGTCGCGTCGCGTCGGCACCCGAAAAGCTTCATGCATCAGGCGCCACCAGACGGGGTTCGACGACGCCCCGACGGCCACGACGCGCCGCGCCACCGCCGCGCGACGCGAGCGCCGACGACGATGCGCGCGATGCGCGCGACGCCAGCGACCGCGCGGCCGCGCGGCTCGCGTCTCGCGCCGCGGCGACGGCGCGCGTCCGTCGCGTCGCGCGCGCGCGGTCCCGCGACGCCAGCTCAGATCCGGCGATGACGAGGACGAAGGATGACGAGGCGATGATAAACGACGCCGACGAGGCCGACGACGGCGCGACGACGACGACGCG